AGGAGGGAGACAGGTATTTTAGACTGAGTAGGGAAATAGGGAAAATATAGATTTAGAAACAGTACAAATCCCAGCTACATGATTCATTAGCAATGTGTAAATGAGCTTAGGCAAATCACAATTCAACTTGAATTTCTCACTGGCAAAATGAGATCTGCCTCAAAGATCTCGACGGTTCCTCCTGCTGACAGGGTGTATTTGCAGCCATCTATACTTCAGACAATAATTCCTTCAAAATAGTTACATCAAACAGCACTTTATATCAATTTATATAAATAATTTAATATATACAGTATATATATTTTAAAGATTTATTTTTAAAAGATGTTTATTTATTTGAGAGAGGGAACCAGAGAGCAAAAGCAGGGGGAGCGGCAAAGGGAGAAGGAGAAGCAGGCTCCCCGCCAATGTGAGGCTTGATCCCAGGATCCGAGGATCATGACCTGAGCCAAAGGTAGATGCTTAACTGACTGAGCCACCCAGACGTCCCTAAAGATTTTTTTAAATTTTTCATTATTTTTTTAAGAGTTTATTCATTTGAGAGAGAGAATGAGAGAGCACGAGCAGGGAGAGTGTCAGAGGGAGAGGCAGACTCCCCTCCAAGCAGGAAGCCCAATGCAGGACTCGATTCCCGGATTCCAGGACCATGACCCGAGCCGAAGGCAGTCGCTCAACCAGTTGAGCCACCCAGCACCCAAGATTTTATTTTTAAGTAATCCCTACACCCAATGGGGGCTCAAACTCACAATCCTGAGATGAAAAGTCACATGCTCCACAAACTGAGCCAGTCAGGTGCTCCTTTTTCTTGATTATAGAATCCATACTTGTTCTGTATCCCACTTTTCTCACCAAGAGATTATTTTCCATCTCCTCGCATCTTTTTCTCTCTCCCCAGTGACTTTTCTCCTTTTGTCACAAAATGTGCCCATGCACAAGTTTTTCTTGCTTTAGAAAGCAAACCTTCACCTGACAATACTTGGTAATCATTTTAGTACTCTTTTTAACAGCCACACTTCTCTGTTTTAGCTCAACATTCTCTAACATCTAAGCTGATTGTTAATTCCATCAGTTTGTCAAAACTGCTCAGATACTGGAAGGAAACTAACAAAATGCTGAAACTATTGCCAATATGCAATGACTAGCTCTCATCTGCTCCATCATTCTGATGCCATTAATGTTGCTGATAGGGCCCTTCTTCGTCACATTTCCTCAAGTTTTTGATATTTCTTCAGTGCACATTTGACATTTATTAAGCACCAAGGTTGTGTTTAAGGAGTTTACGATCAACAAGGGGAAATAACCGGCAAGAATATAAAGTAGAGTGGATATATGAACTGGAACTTATAAAGTTCCTGTAAGAGATTTGGGAAGGCTCATGGAGGTGCCAGCATTTGAGGGTAGATTTGAAGAATAAAATTTCAATTTATAAAAATGGAAGAGAATCATATGCAAAAAAAGCAACAGTAATTTTACACAAAAAGAGGCAGGAAACACAATGTGTACTTAAGAGAAGCATTACAATAGGGAGAAAATGAAAGACCTACTAATACAAACTTTTATTTTTGGGACACCTGGCTGCTCAGCCGGCTAAGTGTCTGCCTTTGGTTCAGATGATGGATCGAGTCCCACTCTGGGCTCCCTACTCAGTGGGGTGCCTGCCACTCACTCTGCTTGTGCTCTCTCTGAAAATAAATAATATCTTAAAACAAAACTTTTATTCTTATGCAAAGAATAAAGTGGTAGTTAAAAAAAGAATAGGCTTATAATGAGTTAATGAAAAAATAGGCTTATAATAAAATCTCGTCTGCCCAGCCTTTTCCAGTCTCTGGCCTACTCTGAAGAGACAAGCTTTCTTAACTGTTTCTTCACAGAGTTGCCATATTTTTATTTATTTATTTGAGAGACAGTGCTTGCATGAGTGGGTGGAGGAGGGGCAGAGAGAGAGGATCTTTAAGCAGGCTCCACACCCAGCACAGAGACCAACTTGGGGCTCGATCTCACGACCCTAAGAATAGGACCTGAGCCGAAATCAAGAGACAGACCCTACTGAGCCATCCAGGAGCCCAGGAGTTGTCATATTTTTAAATGATATACTTTGAATACGATTTCTTGCCATATAAATTCTGCATATATCCAAAATGTGCTATAAAAGATGAAAATCTGGCATTTTTAGAGCTCCCCTCAATTTGCTATAATTATCACTACATTTGATTAAACAGATTATCAAGTATTTATTGTCTTGTGTTTGACTCATAAAGAACTAATTTGTATATTTTAATTATATTTTTCTCTTGAGAGGACCTACAGAATATTAGTTAGGAGTACCAGCTCTGCAGCCATACTGGAGTTCAAACTGTGGATATTAACACTTTCTAGCTGTGTTAACTTTGAGCAATATATTTAATCTTTCTGCCCATTTCCTCATCTGTAAAATAAGGATAGGATGTACATAATTGTAAAATCAAATGAAATGAGTAATTGCTTGTAAAAGTACTCAGAACAACCACTGGCACTTAGTATACAGTGTAAAAAAAAGTTAGCTATTCTATTACTATAGGGTCTTGTTCTAAAGTTTACAATGGTCTTTCTCCTGTGCATTTCCTTCATCCATGGAGGACATGAACTGTACAACTGCAAGGGCCCAACTCACATGGTAAGAATAAATGAGGTTATGCAAAAAGGCAATCTGTTTCCATATCAAGTATTTTATCAAATCCTTGTTTCTGAGAGTCCTTCCACCCAAAGCCTCCTGTCCTGCTCTAATACAGCTGCGGGCTTTGTGCTTTGTTAATGGGTTCTTCCTACATTGCTCCTCTGGATTAGATGCAGTTTCTTTGACTTCAAGTATCTTTAATTCTTTTTTTTTTTTTTAAGATTTTATTTATTTATTTGACATACAGAGATCACAGGCAGAGAGACAGGTAGAGAGAGGAGAAAGCAGGCCCCCTGCTGAGCAGAGAGCCAGACACGGGGCTTGATCCCAGGACCCCGGGACCATGATCTGAGCCCAAGGCAGAGGCCTTAACCCACTGAGCCACCCAGGCGCCCCATCTTTATTTATTGATATACTCCATTTTCCTACAGCAGAATATCTACAACTAATTTCTTACAATGGTGTGTATAAGTAGTATTACTGAATCTTTTCATGTTAAAAAAAAAAAGGTTTTATTCCATCCTAACAAAGAACTGATAAAAATTTAAATGGAAAAGAATTTTTAATCAGCATTTAAATACTGTTACAACTGTCTTCTAGAATACAGTGAGTTGTTAAGAAATCTAATGCTACTGGGACGCCTGGGTGGCTCAGTTGGTTGGACGACTGCCTTCGGCTCAGGTCATGATCCTGGAGTCCTGGGATCGAGTCCCGCATCGGGCTCCCAGCTCCACGGGGAGTCTGCTTCTCTCTCTGACCTTCTCTTCGCTTGTGCTCTCTCTCACTGTCTCTCTCTCTCTCAAATAAATAAATAAAATCTTTAAAAAAAAAAAAAGAAATCTAATGCTACTGATTCTTGCTCTTTTCTTTCAAGGGACATTTAGGATCTCTGCTTCTGCCCAGTGCTCTAAAATTTGATAAAGATCCTTGTCGTTTTTCACTAATAGCACTGAGCTGGTGAACCTTTCAATCCGGAAATTTGTGTCCTTCAGCTCTGAGATATACTTGTACTATTTATTTGGTAATATAATCCCACATTTTTAAAATTTTCTTTTGATACAGTTTGTTCTCTAACTGGGATCAGTTGCTGAAACCTCTTGAGTTGATCCAGTATTATTCCTCATATTCTTGCTTCTATTTTCTAACTTTTTTAGCCTCACTGAGACATCTTCTACTTTATTAATTACCCTTCTATTCATTCATTTGCTCAACAAATATTTAATGATGACTGACCTACTGCATTTTTCTGTGTTCCAGGCAATGTTCTGGGCATTGCAGATTAAAGTAGTAAGTAAAAAAAAAAAAAAAAAAAAGGGTAGTAAGTAAGACAAATCTCAAACCTTATGTTGGACAAAATGTTAAGAAGTAGGATAATAATTAATGCCATTAAAAAATTAACAAGTGGGATGCCTGGGTGTCTCAGTCAGTTAAGCTTCTGCCTTTGGCTCAGATCATGATCCCAGGGTCCTGGGATTGAGCCACATGTCAGGCTCCCTGCTCAATGGGGAGTCTGCTTCTCCCTCCCATTGCCTCTCCTACCCTTCTTGTGCTAATAAATAAAATCTTTAAAAAAAAAAAAATATATATATATATATATATACACACACACAGAGCATTGGTATTCATTGGAAAAAAATCCACAGAGTGGACACACACAGTTCAAAGCTGTGCTGTTCAAAGGTCAGCTACATACTTAAAGGCTGATGTAGTAAGAGTTGCTAATGAATATGGGCCATAAGGCAGAGTAAGGAGAAAAGACCGATTTGGGGTAGAGGGGATTGGCTTGAGCAACTGGATGAATAATGGTACCTTTCAAATGCTTAAGGAAAGACGGAGGAAGCAGCAGATTTGGGTGGAGGTGAAGAGGGAAAAAAAGATTTTCTTTTTTAAAGATTTTATTTATTTATTTATTTGACAGAGATCACAAGTAGGCAGAGAGGCAGGCAGAGAGAGAGGGGGAAGCAGGCTCCCCGCTGGGCAGAGAGCCCGACACAGGGCTTGATCCCAGGACCCTGAGATCATGACCTGAGCTGAAGGCAGAGGCTTAACCCACTGAGCCACCCGGCACCCCAAGATTTTGTTTTTTTAAACCTAAGGCTGAAATACCCTGCACAGTGTTTAAAAGTATGGAGATGGTCTGCATGAGTTAAAATCCTGGATGGGGTATGGAGTCTATAAAGCTTTCCTTGTTCTCTTTAAGATGGAGATATTATGAGTTTGCAGGCTGAAGTTAAAAAAAAAAAAAAAATTAAAGGGAACTTTCCAGAACGCTCAGTGAGACGCGGAGGAGCTGCGGCCACCCGAGCTGCGCCCAGCAACGCGCTCCTTCCCGCTCCCCGACATCGGCCTCGGCCCTCTCACCGGCTGTAGAAAATGGTGAAAGAAACCACTTACTATGATGTTTTGGGGGTCAAACCCAATGCCACCCAAGAACTGAAAAAGGCCTACAGGAAACTGGCCTTGAAGTACCACCCTGATAAGAATCCAAATGAAGGAGAGTTTAAACGGATTTCTCAAGCTTATGAAGTACTCTCTGATACAAAGAAAAGGGAATTATATGACAAAGGAGGTGAACAGGCAATTAAAGAAGGTGGAGCTGGTGGTGGTTTTGGCTCCCCCATGGACATCTTTGATATGTTTTTTGGAGGAGGAGGAAGAATGCAGAGAGAAAGGAGAGGTAAAAATGTTGTGCATCAGCTCTCAGTAACCTTAGGAGATTTATATAACGGTGCAACAAGAAAACTAGCTCTGCAAAAGAATGTGATTTGCAATAAATGTGAAGGCCGAGGTGGTAAGAAAGGAGCAGTTGAGTGTTGTCCCAATTGCCGAGGTACTGGAATGCAAATAAGAATTCATCAGATAGGACCTGGAATGGTTCAGCAAATTCAGTCTGTGTGCATGGAGTGCCAGGGCCATGGGGAACGGATCAGTCCTAAAGATAGATGTAAAAGCTGCAATGGAAGGAAGATAGTTCGAGAGAAGAAGATTCTAGAAGTTCATATTGACAAAGGCATGAAAGATGGCCAGAAGATAACATTCCATGGTGAAGGAGACCAAGAACCAGGACTGGAACCAGGAGATATTATCATTGTTTTAGATCAGAAGGACCATGCTGTTTTTACTCGGCGAGGAGACTTTTTCATGTGTATGGACATACAGCTGGTTGAAGCACTGTGCGGTTTCCAAAAGCCAATATCTACTCTGGACAACCGAACCATTGTCATCACCTCTCATCCAGGTCAAATTGTCAAGCATGGAGATATCAAGTGTGTGCTAAATGAAGGCATGCCAATTTATCGTAGGCCATATGAGAAGGGTCGCCTCATCAACGAATTTAAGGTAAACTTTCCTGAGAATGGCTTTCTGTCTCCTGATAAACTCTCTTTGCTGGAAAAACTCCTACCTGAGAGGAAGGAAGTAGAAGAGACTGATGAAATGGACCAGGTAGAACTGGTGGACTTTGATCCAAATCAGGAAAGACGGTGCCATTACAATGGGGAAACATATGAGGATGATGAACATCATCCCAGGGGTGGTGTTCAGTGTCAGACCTCTTAATGGGGCCAGTGAATAACACTGCTGGCATTTTATGTGCAGTAGTGAATGAGTGAAGGACTATAATCATAGCTCACTACTTGCTATTGTTTTTGTTTTAATATTCAACTATAGTACTGTTTTAAAAGTTAAATGAAGAATAAACTCAAATATAAAAGCTCTGACTTTGCCCTGTATGTATGATGACTTCAGTGTGGAAGATAAGTTTAATATTTGTAAAAACTGCTTTCAAAAAAAATCTCCCCTAGCATTTGTTAGGCCATACCTTGTAATTAATTTCAGTTCTATGTATATGAAACAGCTTAGACTGAAATGCTAGGTGTATGTATTGACTTCAGTGTATCACCCTTAATTGTTAAGCTATGAAGTTAAAACTTGTATTTAATTGGCAATCAGACAAAGAATTTGTAGAGAAGTGTTGGTCTGTAGTTATGTTAAGTGGGATTCATTGTGATGCCTCTGCATTTATTGCCTCAACTGTTACTTGAAGATGGCATGCTATGTAATTTGGCCTGTGGTATCAGTGATAGAAAGGATACCTCTTTTTTTTTTTTTTAAGATTTTATTTATTTCTTTGACAGAGACAGATCACAAGTAGGCAGAGAGGAAAGCAGAGAGAGGAGGAAGCAGGCTCCCTGCTGAGCAGAGAGCCCGATGTGGGACTCGATCCCAGGACCTTGAGATCATGACCTGAGCCGAAGGCAGAGGCTTTAACCCACTGAGCCACCCAGGCGCCCGAAAGGATACCTCTTTAAAGAAAGGGTTTATCATATATGCTGCTGCTTGAGGGCTTGCACTTTTAGAATTGCATTCCCTTCTGTGCCGTCTCCCCCCCCCTTTTTTTTAAATATAAATATAAATATAAATATAAAATATAAATTATAAATATAAATATCAGTCCTGGTTATACTTTTTTCCTTCTCTTTGGACCATGATAAGCCTCAGAGTAGTGGCTTCGGGAGCAGGGTAACTTACAGTGAAGAGACATTTATGTGGAGAAGTTTGCATGTATGAGATAGGAAGGTTTTTGTTTTTTTTTTAAGGTATGTTACAGGCTTACTTTAAATAACTTAACGCTCCGAAGTAACTGTAATTTAATGTTGGTAGTATAGCAAATTATGATGAATAGCTTTAATTGTATGTTTAAAAAGTCATGTTCACAAGCTTAAATCTGGTTATCAGAATTAAGCATTTGGAATGTATGAATGACTCCTTAATATACTGATCACAAAGCAAAAAAAAAATAAATAAAAAATAAAAAAATAATAAAATTAAAAAAGAGAGAGAGAGAGAAATGAACAACATAAGAAAAAAAAGATGGGAGGAAAATCCCAAAACAGAGGAGATGGAAGACAGAGTATATAACAATAGATGCAGGCAGGCAGATACATTTGATGATGAAAAGATGCAGTGCTCCTTGCCTCTATCTCTCAGTAATATAAGAAATTAGGGGGTGCCTGGGTGGCTCAGTCGTTAAGCACCTGGCCTTCAGCTCAGGTCATGATCTCAGGGTCCTGGGATTGAGTCCAATGTGGGCTCCCTGCTCAGCAGAGAGTCTGCTTCTCTATCCATCCCCCTGTCCACTCTCACTCAGATAAACAAAATCTTTTAAAAAATGTTAGAAATTAGTTTGTTAACTGTGAAGAATTAGAAGTAGCTGATGGAGATTGGAGGCAAGTACGTTGTACAAGAGTCACCTCAAGAGAACAGAAGATTGAAATGATCAGGAGCTACAAGACCAAAGCTAAGTGTTAAAAGTATACTTGAAAATAGCAGTAACCAGCTTACAGTGAGAACATTCAGCTTAACTGTGTATATTTTGCTCCAGTTAATTCTGCTATGAAGGTATAGGAATTGAGTAGGCAGACACACGAAATTTTGCAAGGAAGATCAGGAACCAAAGGAAAAGGGATAATTATGATGATTGCCCATGGAAACTAAGTTAGGTAAAGAGGAAGGTAAATAAAAACTATACATGTCTCACCTTCAGGAATTTGGGCTGGAAATTAAAAACTGCTGGGAATTTTAAATCAACCACATCAATGATCATTTTAGATGTAAATGGCCTAAATATACAATTTAAAAGACAAGAGATTGCAAATAAAATCTTTAAAAAGAGGTGAGGGTGTAGCAGCGCCTGACTGGCTCAGTCAGTGCAGCATGTGACTGTTGATCTCGGAGTTGTGGGTTCAAGTGCCACAAGGAGTGTAGAGATTACTTTAAAAACAAAATCTTTGGGGCACCTGGGTGGCTCAGTTGTTAAGCATTTTTCTTCGGCTCAGGTCAGGATCCCTGGGTCCTGAGATTGAGCCCCGCATCGGGCTCCCTGCTCAGTGGGAAGCTTGCTTCTCCCTCTCCCACTACCCATACTCCTGTTCCCTCTCGCTCTGTCTCTCTGTCAAATAAATAAATAAAATCTTAAAAAAATATATATAAATAAAAACAAAATCCTTAAAAAATTAAAAAATAAAGAGACTGTTAGAGTGGCTTAAAAAGCAAGATCCAACTCTATATATGCTAACTATAAGAAATCCATTTTATTTTTATTTTTTTAAAGATTTTATTTATTTATTTGACAGAGAGAGACAGTGAGAGAGGGAATACAAGCAGGGGAAGCAGCAGAGGGAGAAGCAGGCTTCCCACAGAGCAGGGAACCTGATGTGGGGCTCAATCCCAGGACACTGGGATCGTGACCTGAGCCAAAGGCAGACGCTTAATGACTGAGCCACCAGGCGCCCCTAAGAAATCCATTTTAAATATAAAGACATAGACGTGTTAAAAGTAAAAGGGTAGACAGATATATCATGCAAACACTAGCCAAAAGAGAACAGGAGTATGTAATTTCAGATAAATAGACAAGAACTAGGAATACTATCAGAGACAAAGAGGGATATTAGAAAATGACAGAAGTCAATTCTCCACAAAGGACAATCCTAAATTTACATGCACCTAAAACAACTAGACTTCAATATATACAAGGCAAAAATAGATATGAAAATAAAAACATATACATCTATAAGTATAACTGAAGACTTAACATTATGCTCTCAGTAATTGACAAATAGGCAGAAAATTAGTAAGAATAGAGATGATCTGAGCAACATTACCAATCAACCTGACACGACATTCAGAATATTCTACCCAAAAATGTCAGATTATATATTCCTTCCTAGTACACATGGAATCCCTACCAAAGAGGAAGTCTCGAGAGAATTTAAAAGAACAATTTAGTCTGAAAGGAAATGAAAATACAAGCAAAATCTGTGAGATACATCTAAAGCAGTGCTTAGAGGAAAATTTACAGCACCTATAGCATTAAATGTTTATATTAAGAAAAAGAAAGGGGACGCCTGGGTGGCTCAGTTGGTTAAGCGGCTGCCTTCGGCTCAGGTCATGATCCCAGCGTCCTGGGATCGAGTCCCACATCGGGCTCCTTGCTTGGCGGGGAGCCTGCTTCTCCCTCTGCCTCTGCCTGCCTCTCTGTCTGCCTGTGCTTGCTCACTCTCTCTCCCTCTGTCTCTGGCAAATAAATAAATAAAATCTTTAAAAAAAAAAAAAAAAAGAAAAAGAAAAAGAAAGATCTAAAATCAGTAACTTAAGCCTTCACCTTAAGAAAACTAAGCGAATTAAACCCAAAGCAAACAAAAGTAAGTAGTAAGATTAAAGGGAAATTAATTAAAGTAAAAATAAAAAAGCAGAAAAATAAATAGAGCCAAAAACTGGTCTAATAAAGCAATAAGACTGATAAAGCTCTAGCCAGAATGACTAAGGAAAAAATGGAGAAGAAATAAATTACCAATACCAGGAACAAAACAGGAAATACCACTAGAAATCCCACAGACATTAAAAGAATAATAAGGGAATAATAACAGAAATCTCTATACCCATAAATTCAACACCTTAGATGAAATGGACTATTTCCTTCCTGAAATCAACAAGACACACTCAGGAGACAATCTGAAGAGTTCTATATCCATTAAAGACATCAAATTTGTATCTAAAAATCTTCCAAAAGAGAAAACCCTAGGTCCAGATGATACCCGGTTGGCTCAGTCAGTAGAGCACAGAACTGGGTTTTTGTTTTTTGTTTTTTGGGGTTTTTTTTTTTTTTTTTTTGCTTGTTTTTGTTTTTGTGGGTTTGTTGTTGTTGTTGTTGTTTGAGCAACAACTCTTGATCTGGGGTGGTGAGTTCAAGTCCTATTTTGGGTGCAGAGCCTACTTAAAGAAATAAAATTTTTTTTTTTTTAAAGTATAACCACTAATTGAGGAGACTCCAAGGAAAATAGTGGTCTCAGGAAGTAATCAAGAAGCAATTTTGCTTCTGATAATTCTATGAATTAGAGCATGGTGAAAGGAGGTGGAGAGGGCCAGTTAGTAAGATTGGGACAGATCAGAAAATAGCTTCATAGGGTTAAAAGTCTAGATGTCATCAAATAACTTTAAGAGTCTTGAACTGCGGATGCCTTGGTGGCTCAGTTGGTTAAGTGTCTGCCCTCAGCTCAGGTCATGATCTCAGAGTTCTGGGATCAAGCCCCAAATCAGGCTCCTTGCTCAGTGGGAGATTGCTTCTCCCTCTGCTTGCCACTCCCCCTGCTTGTGTTCTCTAATAAAAAAAAATCTTAAAAAAAAAAAAAAAAGTCTTGAACTGGGTGAATGGGGTAAACCAAGACAAGAAGCATGATGAGATTATGCCTTGGCGGGGCGCCTGGGTGGCTCAGTGGGTTAAGCCGCTGCCTTCGGCTCAGGTCATGATCTCAGGGTCTTGGGATCGAGTCCCGCATCGGGCTCTCTGCTCAGCAGGGGGCCTGCTTCCCTCTCTCTCTCTCTCTCTGTCTCTCTCTCTGCCTGCCTCTCTGTCTACTTGTGATCTCTCTCTGTCAAATAAATAAAATCTTAAAAAAAAAAAAAAAAAAAGATTATGCCTTGGGAAGTTTTAGAGGTTGGTTAATAAGTTATGATTATAGCTTCCTTATTGGGATCAGTTTCTTGGGCAGTTGTGATAAAGTTGGTGACAGATGGTGGTGGTCTTACCAGTATTAAAAGGAATGCTTAAAAAAAAAAAAAAAAAAAAGGGAGGGGTGCCTGGGTGGCTCAGTGGGTTAAGCCTCTGCCTTC